AGGGGGAGGCAGGGTGTGTTTGTGGCGATCGAGGTTTCCTTTGGCAGAGCTGCAGGAGCGGGGGCAGGAGTGGGGGGTTGGGGAAGGGGGGAAGTGGGGGAGGAGGGGGAGAGGTGAGGGAGGAGGGAGAAGGGAGAGGGAGATTGTTTGCGGCGACAGAGGCTTTCTCTTAGCGGGGGGAGGGGGATAGGGGGAAGGGGGAAGGGGAAGGGGGAGGGGGCGTCTCTTTAGTCCCCTGTAACCTCCTTTGACACAAACGAATCAACCATAACTGCCGCCCTGAATGTCGAAAAGAACTTGATGATTTATGAAGTCCAAACGTATTTCACGAAAATTTCGACGTTCGCATCAATCTCAGGATCCCTTTCTAAACACTATGACTTAAAACGAAAGGAAAATGTTTATTTCCATCGAATGGCTTACTATGAATGAAAGCAAGCAATTAAAATAACATGTAGACGAAGCCACCGAGAAGGCAAACGCAGACGTTCAGGAAAATCAAAGCATTCCAAGATTCACGGAAACGAACTAAGGAACTCCGGGACTCACGCACGTATTCCTTTCTTTGCTTATTACTTTTTTTTTTTTCTTTTCCATCTTGTTTTTCTTTCTTCATTTTTTTTCTTCTTCTCCTTCATCTTCTTATTTTCTCCTTCTTTTTCTTTTTTTTTCTTCTTCTTTTTCTTCTCCTTCTTTTTCTTCTTCTTCTTCTCCTTCCTGTTCTTTTTCTTCTTCTCCTTCATTTTCTTCTCCTTCCTGTTCTTTTTCCTCTTCTCCTTCCTCTTCTTTTTCTTCTTCCTCTTCTTCTCCCCCTTCCCTTTCTACTTCCCCTTCCTCTTCCCTTTTTATAACCTGCTTACATCACCGATTCCGAATTTTCCCACACTCTTTGAGGAAGAAATAAAATCGGGGAACTGTCAGTTCAGCTCTTCTGTATGACTTGATAACCCCTTAAATAATAACAATAATAATGATAATAATAATAATAATAATAATAATAATAATATTAACAGAAATAATAATGATACTACTACTACTGATAATAATAATAATGATGATAATGATAATAATGATAATAATAACAATGATAATGATAATAATAATAATAATAATAATAATAAGAGTAATAATAATGATAATAATAATAAAAAAATTATAATATTGATAATAATGATGCTAATAATAATGATGATTTATTAATAATTTATTCAAATCATTATTGAGAAAGGTATTTCTTATGATAACGAAAAGAGTATAAGGAAGCACAGAAAACCAAGAACACAAACAAACAGACACTCACACATACACACGAACGCACACAATCATACTTCACACACACACACACACACACACACACACGCACACACACACACACGCACACACACACACGCACACACACACACAAACACGCACAAACACACTAACCCACACAGACACCCACACAGACGCCCTTAAATTTCAGGCCCTCAAAGGCATCATCACAGAGCGGGAAGAGCCAAATCCTGGTTCTCTGTAAGTCTCGCCTCGTGAATGGGCGACCGCAGAAACCAGCCTGTGATTGATTGGCATATTCAGGACGGAATCTTTGACTCGGATGCAGATCTTAACACAAACCCCTTGCTTATCATTAGGGATTTATTCGAGAATCCGGCAGAGGTGGGAACGGCCAAAGTTGCAGGAAAGTATAGATGATCAGCCATTGCTGATCAAAGGACGGAAGAAGTTATGCTCACGCACATTCACACAGATGCAGACAAACATACACAACCTCTCTGTCTGTCTGTCTGTCTCTCTCTCTCTCTCTCTACCTACCTATCTATCTATATATGCACACACATACATACATACACACACACATACATACACAATCACAAACACACACACACACACCCGTACACACATTTATATACATACACATACATACACATATATGTATTTTCAAATATACATATAAACACACACACACGCATATACATATATGTATGTATATGTATATATAGACATATACATACACACATATATGCATCCATATATATGTATATATATATATATATATATATATATATATATATATATATATATATATATATATATATATATATATATACTCGTACACAAAATAAATAAATAAATATATATATATATATATATATGTATATATATATATATATATATATATATATATATATATATATATATATATATACTTATATATATATACTTATATATATATACTTATATATATATATATATATATATATATATATATATATATATATATATATATATATATATATATATATATACTCGTACACAAAATATATATATATATATATATATATATATATATATATATATATATATATATATATGACTAAACAATGCCCCGCACGCTAATAATAAAACGTTCACCGTCTCCAACTGCTTATGAAAGTCCGAAAGAAATTTGCCAATTGTTTTTAGCCCGGAGCTCCGTGGACCAATTCTTTCCAACTTTGGGAGGAAGTTTTGAAGTAAAAGGTTCAGAAGTGGCATGAGACTGAGGCAAAGAAGATTAAAAAAAGGTAAAAGAAAAAGATAAGACGAAGTGAAGCGTAGGTTAAAAATGCGAAAATGAAGATTGATCGATTGAGGAAAAAAATGGAAGAGAAAGGAAAGAGATAGAGAGTGAAAAAAATATCGAAATTTACGAGACACAGAGAAAATAAAAGAGAGGGAGATGAAAGC